GCGCACTGAAGAGCCACACCCCACAAGGGCTGGACTCTCCGCTGAGACGAGTCGTGGGATTTGGGCACGAAGCTGGCAGTGTGTCACAGAGGCTCGTGACCGGGAGGTGAGAACCTGCCCGCTGGCAGCCGTCCTGCAGCCTCTCAAAGCCCAGCCCTCCCGGCTGGTGTCCACCGAGGCCGCAGAGCCTTTCTGAGAAACACACGTCAGGATGCAATCGTGCAACATGGAGCCGCCTGAAACACCAAGTTCGCGGGTATGTGTGAGTGTCTTTGTGTCTTCCCTCTCTTTTCCATCGGAAGAACATAAGCTCAGGACAGTGACGGCCCTGGAATGAGAACAGAATGGGACTGGGAAACTTGTTTCTTCATTTTCTGTCCCCGCCTCCTTACACCGGTCTCTTTGAAAAGCTGAAGGCAACACCCAAGGTAAGAGCTGTTTTCATCCTTGGTTACAAGCCCCCATTCCCATAGTGGCCTGGTGCGCTCTGCGTGCACTTGCACACTGTCTTGTCTGGTCCCCTGTTGGTCTCTCCCACCCAGGCTGCGAATGTCTCCAGGAGTGGGCCTGCCCTCTGCGGGGGCCACCTAGCTGGGTACCCGGAGCTCTGGGTGAGCAGGGCGGGTGGAGCGGAGCAGAGGGGCGGGGGGGAAGCGCTGGGAGGGGAGAACGCCCCATCCCCATCCGAAGCATTTACTGAGCGCCCGTGTGTCCAGTCACAGCGCGAGGCTCTGGGGAAAAGTCCAGATCCCGAGATGCGTTTGTCGGTTCACAGACACTTTCATACAGGGTGGTTTCTGAACTTTACAGCCCTGGTGAGGTGAATGGCACGTGCTATCCTGTGCCACCTTAGAAGAGAGTGGGTTTACAGAGTTTACGTGAGGTGTAGCAAAAAGGGCCACGGCCTTGGGCCTGCATCTTGCTTTGAGTCCTGGCTTTGCCCCAACCAGCCTGTGACCCTGGGCGGCATCGGCATCCTGGCTTATAAAAGGAGGGATTGGCTCTGCAGCCACAGCTTCCTATGGTGCCTGGCCCGGCCTGAAGCCTAGGCCGCTTGATTGCTGAACAAGGGGCTGCAGGTGCCCGAGTCTGGGGGGGCCAGCAGGGCCAGTGAGAGGGCCTGGAGGCCTGCACCTCCTCATCCTGCATCCACCGAGCATCCACAGGGCTCGCCCAGGAGGCCCAGAGGAATAAATGCATGCAGAGGAAGGGGCAGCCTGGGTGGGGACAGAGTCCAGAAATCCCAGCTGTTCACGAGCCCGTGGGCAGAGGTCAGTCCTCAGAGATCAGGTCTGACCCAAGGGCCACCTGGGCTGTGGCTGTGTGCACAGCTGTTGAGGTCGTTGTTGAGGTCACTGTACATGCCAGGAGGACTGGAGCTGGGGAAACCATTGATTGCTACTGACCGCTGACCTCACGGTGACCACAAGGTAGGGAATCTTAGCACGTATCTGCCACACTATTGCCATCAACCCTCGTTCATCAGCACACATTTATTGAGCACCTACTATGTACCAGGCTCTGTTCAGCTGGGATTGCATTAAGAACACTGTCTTCAAGGGATAGCTACTGACGTGAGATAGTGCTCACAATATAATGAGCTAATTCTTCTCCATTGCCCTTCCGGAGTCATTCCCACCCTGTTCTGCACCCCAGGAAGTTGACCCCAGGAGACTGCTTCATCCCCACTCCCTTCCTTCTGGCTTCAAGTTGGGTTCAGCCAATGGGAGAGCCCATCAGGAGATGGGAGGGTGGGAGAAGAGAGGCCCGGTGTGTAAACTCCACTCTCTCCTTGCCTCAGCGCCTCCAGGACTACAGCTCCACTGGGCAGTCCCCTGCTAAAGCTGTAGCCCTCTCTGGGCTCTGGTACTGCTGTTTTCTCCCCTTGCCCGTTGGGCCTTGAGGGTGTAACAGCGTCTGCTGCGGCCAGCTCCTGAGTGCCTCGGCGTCCCTCGTTGGTTCCCTTGAACTTGTCCACGTCTCTGTAAATCGTCCTTCACTAAACAGCTTTAAAAGTGATGGCGCCAGTCACAGTGATTAGTTGCAGATGACAGAATACTCTTTCTGGTTTGAGCAGAGGGGAATCTGTTCATGGGTGCTAGGACTGAAATGCCAGGACTACCAGGAGACCAAGCTTGGATGCCCCATGGCCACGGACAACACTAACAGTCACCTGGACAATCACTAACCCCACCCTTGACTGTTGCCATGGAAACCCACTGCCTGTGATGCTCAGGCCCAGACACTGGAGCATGCTGCTGTGGGAGAACCGGACCCTCTGTTCCCTGCCAGCCAGGAGCCCCATCCTCTACCGCCTTGGGTGGCTCACTTCCACCTTTTAAATCTCGGGCAGGCATCTGTCCAGAGGAGCTGAGGCCACTGGCAGAACCCTGGCTGCAAGAGAGTCAGGGAGATGCAGGTTTCAGTTTTTCCAGAGACTCCCATGCAGCCAAGCACAGAAGGAGGGGCTGGCACACATGTTGAGTGAGTCAGCCCGTATGGTCCGCCAGAGAAGTCAGATAAGAGTGACAAAAATGATCATTGCACCCTTGACCTCCCGAAGGCCACGTGAAGCCTCAGTTATCTACTGTGTTACAAGGAGGACAGTGAGTGGCTCTCTTCGTCCCGGGAGCACTGGTTCTCAGAGCCCATCGCCCTAGCCTCCTCAGTGCACACTGGCCTTCCAGCCACCAGCACTGTCTGCCTGGGGACTTTCCTTACTGCTGGAGACTCCTTGGCCCCCTTGGTGACAGGCTCAAGTGTGGAAATCTGCTACCCCCAGGAGCACCTTCAGCTGGTACCCCAGCTGCCTCACCCCTTGGATGGGAGAGCTCTGGCAGTGTGGTCTGTCCTGGCTGCCAGGGCTCCCTGGTGGACTGGGCTTCTGTTGCCCACAGTGGTAGGTGTCCAAAGTCGAGCCCCACAGTGCTGGGCAGCTTGATAGTAGCCATCACTAGCCAACATCTCTTCCTTCTCTCACTTCCCGACCCTCCTGCCTCTGCCTCCCAGATAGACTCCCGCTCAACAATCCTCCTCTCCAGGTCTGCGTCTGGCACCTCACAAGCTGAGGCATCCATTGCCTAACCATGAGGACATGGAAAGCCTTGTCCCGGCTCTGGAAGTCCTGCTGGGGACAGTCCCTGGGCCATGAGTTAACAGGTGTGAGGCTGCTGCTGTGACCTTGCACCTACTCACTCCAGTTTGGAAGGTCGTCCTGTTCCTGGTTCTCATCCTCGTGGGCAGGAACCCAGAGGGCTCCAGGACGCTCTCAGCTGCCCGGTGCCCCACCCAATGCTGAGGCCAGGACCACGTGTGCACACAGGCATCATCCACCCCAGGATTCTGCCCGACCCTCTCTACCTCTTCTCCCCACATCATTCAGTGCTGCTTCAGCCCTGGGATCGGAGGTGATACTCCATGAAGTTCAAGGGCATCCTCTGCATGTGCCGCCCTTGGTGTAAATGGGACTCTGCCGTGTGTTGCTGTTAGTGCCAGCTGTTAGGGCCAGCTTTGTCCTGGGTTCACAGAACCAACAGTCCCCTGGAGCCTGCTCTGCTCGGGGCACGAGGATGCTGGCTCTGGCGCATGGGGATGCGTCCTCTACTACAGATGTCAGCTGCCCTCCTTCACTGCAGGTCTGCCCCTGAGTAGTCACCAACGGCATAGCGACAGGGAGCTCACATTCTCATGTGACACCTTCAGGCGGGAGGGTGAGAGAAGCAGCTTGATCAGCTGCTCTCTGCCAGGCGTGTGCCTTTTCTCCTTTCAGCATCTTGGGGGCTAACTGTTACTATCATCCCCAGTGCACAGATGCGGAAACCGAGGTTCCTACAGGTTGGGTGACTCTGAGGTCCCTTGGGGCTGGGGCCAGGGCTGGGACCAGGGAGGCCTGACTCAGGGCCCGTGCTTGTTCCCTGACATGTTCCCGCCTCTCAGACACGGGACATCAGTGATGGGGCTCCTGGTCTGCTGCATTGCTGCACCTCGGCCATTTGTCAAGGAGCCTCTGTGCTGTCGTGGCACTGGGGACCTACAGTGAACCTACACATCCCTTGTCCTCACGGGGGCTTCCTCCTAACGAAGGCAGAGACGGTGAACAGATGTAAGTAAGACGGCTTCAGGGGCCCTGAGTGAAGGCTGCCACGCAGGGGACAGTGGACAGTCTCTGAGGAGAGGTCTGTCTCCTGCTGGGGGACGAACAACCCCGAGACTGAGCCCCCACAGCAGCCAATGTTTATTGTTTTGGTCTCTGTGGGTCAGGAGCCCAAGGGCAGCACAGCTGGGTGGCTCTGACTCAGGGCTCTCGAGGGGTCAGTCAGGATGTCGGCAGGCGCTGCATCGTCCCAGGCTGGAAATCTATGTCTCTGCTCCCATGTGCGACTGGTGGCAGGAGGCGTCGGGTCCTCACCACGTGGGCCTCTCCATAGGGCTGCTCACAGGCAGGGCAGCTGGCTTCCCGGGGAGAGATGGAGATGGAGATCAAGGTGCACACGTGCACACGCAAGTGAGCCCACGTGCACACCAACACACACACACACCAACCCCGCCTGCTTTCCTCCTGCACGGCTGTGATGAAATGGAAAAGAAAACGAGGACAAGCACCCTCTCCCGCTGTTCCCAGGCCGCCCTTCCTCCCTGTGTGGGGCTCGCTTTCCTTCAGGCTTCCTGAGAATGGCCTTGGAGAGTCGTCCTGCTGACAGAGAGCTGTCTGCACCTTGTCCCTGTCCCCTGGGGCAAAGAGACAGCACGAGTTTCTGCCAGCAAGTCCATCACCTGCCAGCACACGGGGTGGTGTGATGGGCACTGATGCCCACTTGGAATTGCTGGGTGGGCGTCCAGTGTCCTTCTAGAACAAGGGGTTTCCATTCAGGCAGCTGGAACATGCATTGATGGGAACTCCTGGGTTTAGGTCTTATTTGCTGCTGGTGAGAACATGGGGTGGGGGGGTTGGGTGCTGCCAGGGGAGGCCAGGGGGGTCCACCTGTGACAATGGGCCTGCATGTGTGAGGAGCAAAGTAGGGGCTCTCTCGCCCTGTTTAAAATAATAATCCATCACTTTCTTGGACAATTGCTCATTGTTTTCCTTTTTAAAACGGTGATATATACACACAGAAGACACGGTATATATGCATACATATTTGTGTGTGTGTACAGTTTAAAGATTCACGTAGTATAGACAGGTATATTCACCACCCAAGTCAGTAGATGGGACATTTCCAGCAGCTCAGAGGCACTGTGTTCCTCCTGACAAAAGCCGCCCTCCCTGGATGACTGGTGCTTGACTTCTGTGACAGTCGTGTCCCTGCTCGGCCTCATAGTCTCACTCCCCAGGGGGCACCCTTAGCTGAGGCGTTGAGTTTTGCCCATTTTTCTTCATTCATGTAGATTGTGATGTGCACCCTCTTTGGGGACTGGCTGCCTGGGCGACTCACTTGGCTGCTGGGGGTGCCCAGGATGCGTGCATTCCTGTGGCTGTTTAGTGTCCCTTGTGTGGATGGGCCACATTCATGCACTGTCCTGTAGAGACACGCGGGCCTATTCCAGCTCGGGGCTCTGGGCCGGGTCCCATGCTTCACTGGCGTTTATACCTGGGAGCAGAACTCCTGGGTCCAAAGGTGCTCTGACCTTCCTGGGCAGTGCCGCTGTCTTCTCTGAAATGGAGCACGTGTGTACAGGTCCTGGGCTGAGTTCAGGCAGGGACAGCGTCCTCCAGGAGGATCAGCGGCAGACCGGCCTGTGGGGTGGGGAGGGGCCGGCTGCTCAGAGAGGGATGACCGGGGATGCCTGGCCGAGGGTGTGGAGGGCGGTCAGCGGTGCCCCTGCGGTAGAGAAGCGGCTGCTAAGAGGGGCAATGGCAGATGTTAACTACCTGGAGTGATCCAGGCAGGAGGAGGAGGGTGCAGGGCTTTAAGGCTGGGGGCATCTGTCAGCTCGGTGGCCACAACAGAGTGCCATAGAGGGGGACACCTGAACATTTTCCCACAGTTCTGGAGGCTGTAAGCCCCAGATCAGCGTCTGGCAGGGCGGGTTCCTGAGGGGACCCCTCCTCCAGGCAGGCGCCTTCTCCCCACGTCCTCTCCTGGTAGAGAGAGCTCTTCTGTCCCTTCCTCTTGTCAGGGCACTGGTCCTACCAAGTTTTGGCTCCACCCTTATGGCCTGAGTTTTGTCAGATATAGGATTCTTGGTTGGATTCTTTTTCCTTCTGCACTTAGAGTACGTCAGCCCATGCCCTCTGGCCTCCAAGGTTTCTGGTGAGGAATCTGCTCCTGATCTTACTGGGAAAATAGGAGGAAAGGTCTCTTCCTCTCAGCTTTGTCAGCGTTAATGATGTCCCTTCTCAGGTCTCATGCAACAGAACGTTTTCCTATAGGATTATGACAGCCCTTCAGTGGTAGGATCATTTTGAGAGTAATCAGAGTTTAAGGAAAAGGAGTTGAATATTTTAAGTGTGGATGTTTTGAGGTATTTAACAGCCAAAAATTATTAGAGATTTTAAAATTAGAAATGAAATGAAAAGGCCACTGAAGCATCTTACAGGTTTTAATTTCTAATAAAGTAAATATCACTGTCTAATATCCTACATACATAAAAAGCTCTTTGCTGTCCTTTTTTTTTTTTTTTTTCACAGTAATGGGTTCTTGAGACCAAAAAGGGAGCCAACCACTATAGTTTATCCCCAGCCATGCCTGGTGCATTTCCTGCTCTCACCTCATAAGGAGCCACTGTGATGGAATTTACGAAAACCTGTTCTTTTCTCATTTTTTATTTTTCCTTGCTTTTTTTTGTTCTTTTTCACATTTTAAAACAATTTTTTAGTTAGTATTGTTATTACAGTTAGTATAGTTAGTATTGTTGGTGTAGTTAGTAGAGTTAGCATCTTTGGTATAGTTAGTGTTACTTATTGGCATAGTAAGTTAGCAAGCATCAGTGGCCTTGTTATTATTGTTAGTCAGTATTAGTTAGCAGACTAACATTTTGTTTGTTGGCGTAGTTAGTAAGCATAGTTAGCATCATTGGTTGGTATTGTCAGTAAGTGTAGTTATGAGGTCACCATGCTTCCAGGCCTCGCTGCCACCTCTCTGGCAGGCAGACCTGTCTTCACGATTACAAGCTCCTCAGGACCATTGGGGAGGGCTCCTTCGCAGGTTAAGCTGGCCCTGCACATCCCGACCGGGACAGAGGTTGCCGTGAAAATCACCCCGAAGCAGGAGCAGAGCTCCTCCAGAGCCAAGAGACTCCTCGGTGAAATGCAGAGTTTGAAGACATTGCACCACCCCACATTGTAAAGCTGCTAGAGGTGATCGACACGGAGGAGACGCTGTTCATCATCACAGAATACATCAGCAGAGGGGACACCCTCGACCCTCGGTTGCAGCACGGCCCCCTGACGGAGGAGGAGGCCCGTGGCCGGTCCCGGCAGCTCATCTCGGCTCTCCAGTACTGCCACCGCAAGGGCATCGTGCACCGGGACCTGAAGCTGGAGAAGGTGCTCCTGGACCCGGAGGGGAACGCGAAGCTGGCCGACTTCGGCCTCAGCAGCGTGGTCCCCGGCCGGCCACTGAGCACCTACTGGGGCACCCCCAGCTACATGGCCCCAGAGGTCCTGCGACTGCAGCCCTAAGATGGCCCCCCAGCTGATGGCTGGAGCCTTGGCATGCTGCTCCATGTCGTGCTCACCGGGTCCCCGCCGTTCTGGGGAGAGGACTTCAGTGACGTGCAGCAGAGCGTGCTCAGAGGGGCCTACTTGCTCCCCATGCTCCTTTTGTTGGAATGCATCCAATTATGAGAGTCCTGCTGACCCTTGACCCCAGGAAGAGGAAGACCTTAGAAGAGGTCATGGGAGACCCATGGGTCAATCAGGGCTGGCCGAAACTGAGCCCGTATAGGAGCTGCCTTGTGACACAAGGGACTCCTGGGTGACAGAATCAATGATGAAGATGGGTTTTCAGTGGAATCAAATCCAGGAGTCTCGCAGATGAAGGTATGACAATAATGTGGCCATGTTCTTCATCCTGAAGTCTCAGAAGGCCCAGGGGGATGGGCACACCAGCACTGGGAGGTCCCTCCCGTCCGCCGAGGCCAGGAGCTGCAGCTCTTTGCCACCCTGCACAGCACAGCTGAGGGCCTCTGCCCATCTCGGCCAACACGGTGGCAGTGAGCCGGTTCTGCCCACCTAGCTTTGCGAGGCTGGCTGTCAGTGGCCCGAGGAGAAGCAGGAGTGAGTGTTGAAGGTCACAGAGCCTGCTCGCCTGGAGTCGGGCGCCACCACCCCCAGCCCGACCCCTCTGCGGGTCCCCGGGGCCGTCCCCTCCACCCACAGCACCAGCACCAGCCATGGGGCCCGGGAGGGAAACTGCCACGGAGACTCTCGGCAGGCTGGACAGCCTGGTGGGGCGACCCCGGCCTCCCCCTCAGGCTGCAGCCAGGGCCAGAGGTGGGGGCGCCACTGGGAAGCTGCTCACAGTGCTCCGAGGCCTGTGCTGCTGCCTGCCTAGCAGGACCTGGCCTGGCAAGCCGAACAGGGTATGGCCCATGTGAGGTCCCAGCCAGTCCCATCCCAGAGCGGGAGGTCAAGCCGCCCCCCTGCATTTATGTGGAGGTGAGACACAGAATCCAGAGCTGGCCAGCGGCGTCGGAGTTCGGCCCGAGGTGGACGCCTTCCGCTGTGCGTGGGGGCCGTGCAAGAAGGACACGTGGACATGCAGGGATGTGCAGGTGAGAGGCCTTGGTCCAGCGGCCAGCGGAGCTGTGCCAACCACAGTGGCACTATCTGCAGAGATTCAACTCAGAAGGGACCTGGCACCTCCGTGACCTAAGAAGCATCGTGTCCAAAACACTTGGTGAACTAGGAGGACAGCCTGTAGGCACCTGGGGTCACGAGGAGGGGCCACCCTCACTGCAGGTCTGCATTTCAGCCCCACTGAGGTGAAACCTCAGAGCCTGGACTGCGGCACGGGTTTGGGCCCTCAAAGCAGCCTCGGGTCACTTCCACGTCAGGCTGAGTTTTCTGACTGTAACGCAGGAGTTGGGCCTGTCCACTGGGACGATGTCTCCTTTTTATGACAGTGGTGTAGAGCGATCCCCCTGGGAGTGCTGACCGAGGTCTGGGCTGCTCACCCAGCTCCATGTCTAAGGGAGCTCCACAGGAAGCCAGACATCTTGGGGTCCAGAGGGAGGGTCGTGTGTCAGGGAGCTTCCGCAGGGGCTCCTCAGAAGCCTGAGGATGTCCAGGAGGCCGCTGGCTGCTGCTCGCAAGGCTGGTGACACTGCATGCAGAGTCTTTCCACCTGCTCACGAGACGGCCCTGGGACGGTCCCAGCGTCTGAGCGGGCAGAGAAGATTTTCCTTCACCCACAGAGAGCAGGGCCTGGGGAAGCAAGAAAGGGCTGGGGATGGGCTGGGAGTCTTGTCGCTCCCCCATTAGGTCCCCCGTTGTGGTTTTCTCTATGCCAAACAGCCCAGTGTGTGGTCCTCCAATTTTGCTCTCCTGGCACCTGTCCAGGGCTCCCATTCCCTTCAGGGTCAGTCCCACTGCCTGAGTGGGCTTTCGGGACCCTCTGTGACCTGTCCCCTGCAGCCCTTTTCACTCCCACCCCCTCCTTGCACTTTACTCACACTGAATTGTTCAGTTTCCACAAATCCTCTGCCCATGAGGCTTACCCTCTGCGAAGCCCACATGCTGGGCACCTGGCCAGACCCCATCGGGCTCCCCGAGGTGAATCAGGCATTGATCCCGCTGGAAGAGCACGGCCCAGCTGGGAAGAGAAGACGGGGACCCAACTAGAGGACAGTCCCCTGTTCCAGGGGCAGAGGCAGGACATGCCCAGCACAGCACATGCTCACCCCCTGCTGGCAGCATTGGGACAGCATCTAAACCAAGGTGGCCCTCTAGCGGGGCCTGATGCCTGGCTCTGACCACAGGAATCGGAGAGGAGGCATTCTAGACAGAAGGAGGCTGCGGTGGCAGGCACATACAAGACAGAGGCAGGTGCAAGGCTGCGGGGGCATGGACCAGCACCCCTTGTTTCTGGGACCACTCCCATGGTGCATGTGTACTGAGTCTCTCACCTTAGATATCCTCCAGCTCAGGCCTGGAAAGCAGTCAGCTGTGACAGTGGAATGCTCTGCTGATGAGGCTTTCTCCTCTTCTGTGAGCTTGGGCCCTGGCTGGCTGGCCAGCGGCTACCTCTGAGCTGCCTCATTAGTCCAAGCTCAGTTCCACAGCAAGGGCCCTGGGTCAGGTTCTAAGGAGCAGGGGATCAGGACCAGGGAGCGACGTCCTCGGCCTCCATTGGAGAAGACGCCTCTGGCTGCACGTGCACAGTGGGCTGTGGTGGGAGGGAACCGGAGTCAGTGTGGGGACCCACCAGGGATTTGCCAGCACATCGAATGAAAGCCCCTGCCAGCCCAGGATTTTCAGCTGGCTCCTGAATTACAAATTACTTACTGCAATTGATCTGATGGACCATTTTTCATGAAACATGAAAGGGTACGGATTGTTGGGGTGGTGGGAGGAAACATTAACAGGGGTGTGGCAGAGAGGTCCGGGTGGCTCTCAATGGCATCGTCCACTTCTCAGAGCAACGAAACACCTGACTCCTAGCTGGTCATGTGGCCACCCAGGACACAGAGTTCCCAGCCTCCTCTGCAGCTGGCTGGGCGTGGAACCCAGCTGTCCCTCAGGATGGGAAGGAAAGTGACTTGCGCGGCTTCTAGATATTTCCCAGGAGAGAGAAGGAGGCCCTTCTTTCTGCTTCTCCCTCTTCCTGCTGCCGGGAGCACGAGCTCTGAGGCTAGAGCTCTGTCCTGACCACACTGATGAGGGCAGCTCCTCTGGGGTGACAGGGCAATGGGGACAAGAGCCTCCTGGGCAGCCCTGCCAGACCAGCGCCAACCGTCTGCTTCCAGACTGAGCGTGGGAGAGGGGCGAGCTCTGTGCACCACTCTGCTGTGGGCCTTTGTTATGGCAGCTGGACCTTGTCCTGACCAAGACAGCCATCTTGGAGGGGACTTTCTGGGGGGCTCCCTTGGGTCCGGCTGTGCCCAGGGCCACAGCTGTCTGCAATGTTCAGCCCTCCTTTCCATGGGGTGACAGCCAAGCTCAGCTCCAACCCACTACCCTCTCGGGGCGCTTCCCTGGAAATCTGATGCGTGACTATCGATGCCCCCAAGGAAACAAGTCTGGATCTGGTGTCCCCAGGCCGTCCCCTTGTTCTGTGCTCCCACACTGTGCACCCCCACTCTCTCCCAAAGACGCCCCTTGTTCTGAAATAGGCCGGGCTGACTCTCTCCCTGCTGACATCTGCAGATTCTCGTCACCTGACTCAGGGAACAGGCCCCCCTCACTCATGGTGTAACTGGATTATTGCTGGAAAGATGAGTTAGGAACTGACAAGTTCTCTGTTAAACTGACAAGCTTAAAAGCTGAATTTGCAAAACCAACCAAGCTCCAGGCACGGTGGGCGGGCAGAGCCTGGGACTCGGTCAAGCCCTGGCCCGAGCCCGCCACCTGGGAGACAGACGTTTGGGACATCCCAGGGGTCTGGGTATCGTCTTGTCTGTGTAATTTCTGATGTACCCTCCACTCTTATGGATCCTCCAATTTTACGGGGAAAAGGAGCTCTAGTTTATATTAAAATATTAAACTTGTCGAAGATACTGTAACAGGATGCACAGTTCCTTTGTTTATGCTGAGTGCCTGCAAAGGGTCTGGGAGGGCTGGTTCCACATAGGATGTAATAATGGAACATTTGAGGTTCAGTAAGGCCAACAGACCAGGAGACGATGCCATTGAAAAGTCAGCTGGTTACTCACAGCTCCCTGAGGAGGGGCACGCAGCACACGGGGAAGCCCCAGGGTGGTCAGGAGGCAGAGGGAGGGGGGACACCACGGGCAGGAGCCTGTCCTGTGGTTTCTGGAGGAAGGAACAGCGAGGCAGGGTGAGCAGGCTCAAACTGGCTGGTCTAAATAACTTCGCAGACTCTGGGGCACGGGGCTGCCCCCGCTGTCTGGTACCCACCCTGGGGGACGAGAGCAGGGGATAGTGGCCTGGAGTATGTGTGTCCAATAGAGGAGGTGGTTGGGGTGTGGATGGACATTGGATTGGTCTGTTTGTGTTTGAAAAATGGGCCCAAGGAGGAGGGTTCTCCCTGGGGGTGGGGGGAGGGGCGATGAGGGAGGCAGGAGGCTGAACTGAGCAGATTCACAACCAGGCGGGTCCGCATGTGCACGCAGGACAGATTACAGAAGCTAGAAACATGGTCCAGACAAGGCCTCAGCTCAAATGTCACCTCCTCAGAGGAGTCTTCCCTGCCTGCTCCGTCTACAATGACAGCCGCCCCACCCCAGTCTCCCTGCCATCACCTACTTCAATCCCCTCACAGTGTTGATGGCCCAGGCCCCCGCTCAGCACCCCACACTGACTTCCCACCCAGAGGAAGGTCCTCACAGGAGCCCCCAGGCCCTGCACCCTCTGGGCCTCCACCTCTCTCGTCTCCTCCCACCACTGCCCCCATCCCCCTCCTGGTCCCCCGGCCCTGCTTTTCCTCTGTGGCCCTGCTGCCTTCTAACCTGCTGTGCTCTGCTCACTGTTTGTCCCTCTGTGACGACGGCTCCAGGGGGCGGCAGAGTTTGTCTCCTTCATGGCCATCGTGCCTACAGCGCAAGTCAGGGCCGGGCACAGAGCTGGGCTCCATGGACAGTGAAGGAGCCAACGGCGCTTAGCACTCCTGGAAGTATGCTCCTGTGTGGTCTGCAGTGTTCACTGGCCCAGCGCACGTCACTGATGCCCTGCGGCTGCCGGCTGGCTCTGGACACCGGGCACAGCACAGCAGGAGAAGCAGGCAGAGCTCTCCATTCTCATCCAGCTGACAGCCTAGTTGGGGAGACAGAGAAAAAAGAAATAAAATATACACAATGTCAGGCAGGGATGTGGACCACGGAGAAAAATTATGTCAAGGAGGATGTTTAAGCAAATTCCGAGCGTGTTTAGGGAGCAAGCAATGCAGAGGGTAGAGTGTTCCAGGCTGCGAGGCCAGCAAGTGCAAAGGCTCAGAGGCCACAGTGGGCTGCATGTTTGAGAGACTTAGTTATTAGCATGGATGCTTAGTTTCATCTTGAGTCTGTATTTCGCTTTTGTTTGTGATTCTTGATTTCACCTTTCTAGCTAATTAACCTGATTTCAGCAAATTCTATCCTATTCTATGATTTAAAGGAGAAATGGGTGAATTTGCATGAAGTCAGCACGTATCTATTTAATGGCCTCGCTGGGCCCAGCCCTGTGAGGCACCCGGAGGCTGTGAAATCAACACAGCAGTCTCCACCTTGACGACCCCAGTTAATGAACATCCTTGCCGTCCTCCAGCCCCTCCACTGCCCCTCTGCCCCACCTTGTCTGGGTCTCGAGCTCCAACGCTGACCCTTTTTTGCACCTTCACCCCCAAGTCCAGCTCCTCCTAGACTTCTCTGTCTGGGTGTCCCTGAGCTTCTGGAATTCAACTTATCCCAAATGGAGTTCAGCCCTCGCCCCATGTCTGCCTCCTCTCCATGAAGTCCCTCTGGGTGAGGGAGCCCCCACCAGCAGACTCCTCCACCCCCTGGGGAAGGGCTCTCCTGACCCCATCTGCCAATGCGCCCCACCCTCTTGATCTGCCACTTCGGGAGCCCCGTGACCCTCTCCCTCCTGTCTTCAGCCTTGGGCTGCACACTGACCTCCCCCTCTTCACAAACCCCCAAAAGGCTGGTAAACTGACACACAGGGACACGGAGGCAACACAGGTGGGTGTGTCTGGGAATGGCAAGCAGCATCCCAGAGCAGAGGGCAGAACAGGGCTCCAGAGCGGGCAGAGCACGGCTATTGTGGTGGCAAGATGGCCATAAAGGGGTCGAGGCGGGCACCGCACAGCAGCCCCCCACCATTCCCCAGGTGCCCTGTGTCTCAGCCTTGGCTTGGGCTGGCTGCCCCTCCTTCTGTCTGTTAGGTGGGTGCCTGTTCATTCGTTCACTCACTCATTGGCTCATCATGTGTTTGGTTCCTGTCCGGTGCCAGGCCCTGGCTAGATGATGGCTCGTCCTTGGAGACCCAGCTCAGATCTCACCTCCTCTGTGAAGCCATTCTTGATGCCCACCCCCTCCTGCAGCCCCTCTGGCCTCATCTGGGCCCCTCAGTGCTGTGATCACACTCTGATGAGCTCTCCAACCTGTGAGCCCTGGGGGGCTCTGGGCCAGATGCAGAAATGGGCTCAGACACCTGATGATGGCTAAAACCCCGAATACACGGATTCAATGTGGTAAGAAGGGGCCATGGGCCGCATGGGGGTCAAGTTCACTGCCTCCCTCTCTCCCTCCTGGACTAGGGCTCCTCATTACCAGGAACCTGAGCAACCTTCTCTCACCCTGTGCTCATTTAGGGCATTAACAGCCTGGATTGTTTTTTCAATGTTAATTCTTTTTAAACTCTGAAGACAGGTCATGAGGGTATCCCTCAGAAATGAGAAATTTAATTATCACTTCAAGGGAGGGAATGCATCTGTTGTGACTGAGCCAAGACAGGACAATGTGGAAAGCACAGGATGCTGAGGAGGAGCCGGCTCAGGGGCTGGGCCTCGGGGCAGCAGGAGGAGGGGAGACAGAGACATAGATGGAGGCAGAGCAGCCAGGGCAGGGGGCAAGCCGGGAGGAGTGGGAGTCCAGGGGCTTCCACATGTGAGGGCAGTGGCTTCCGGAGTCCCCCTCTGTCACGTACAAGCCGTGTTTCTCATCCTGCAGCACCTCCAGGCCTTTCCTCTGCTCTCCAGACAGCAGTGCCCTCACCCTGCGAGACTCTGCCCTTCTGGCATCTGTTCCCCAGCCTGCCTGTCCAGTACCCCGCCCCCACCATGACACACACAGCCCGCTCTGTGCTTAGGTCACCTGGTTGTCATCGCCTGAGGCTGGCCTGACTGCTTGTGTGAGAGACTGGCAGACCTGGCTTCTAGCTTTCTAAGTCTGCGTGACCTTGGACGGGTCCCTCGTCCCTTTGGAGGCTCAGTTTCTCACTATAAGTGGGTCTGGCAGTGGTCTCCTCACAGTGGCACTGTGCTGAGCTGCTGGAGATGGAGCGTTGGACGGGTCCCCGTTGCTGGTGCCCTTCGTGATGACCCTGGGGTCGTGACCCCCGCATGCCCAGGGTTTGTGGAACGCCTGGCTGCAGTGATGCACGAGGGAGTGGGAGACAGGCAGGAGGTCAGGGTCAGCTTTGGAGTCAGAAGACACAGCATTCCTTAGGGACACTTCCCTGAGCCCCTGGTCCCGGGCCTCGCCCACCCACACTCCTTCTCAGCTGCCTTCGGGGCACTCAGTGAACCCCTGCTCTGAGGCCACGTTCCCAGTGCATCTAAGCCAGGCTGGACACTGCTGTGGTCACGTCCCAGGTGAAGAAGTGACGCTCCACGGGGCTAAAGAGAGGACCGCAAACTCAGATGCCTCCAGGGGTTGGGCCGGCTGGCAGAGGCGGGGGAGGACCTGGGCAGGGAGAAGCTTAGGGAGTGGTGGGGACTGTGGCGAGCTGGGGGCACAAGCTCTGTCCAGAGAGCGGCTCCAGCTCAGCCCCAGAAGAGCGTTGCCTGGAGGGACTGTCACAGGTGGCCAGATCTTCTCATTTCATACATAAAATAAGCTAGACCCCTGGAATTTCATCTGTAATCTTCCAGTTTTTAAATGTTGGCATTAACTTTTAAAATCTAGATTTCCTGGGGTCCCGGGTTGAGGCTCTTGGTTTCAGAGGCCTGGCACGAGGTGGGCTCAGGAGCGGCTGCCCGAGGCGGCCCGGACTCCGGATGCTCTTGGCCCTGCAGCCTCCACTCCCCTCAGACCCCCCCACCTAGTGCCTCCTCGTGGATGTTCAGGGGCAGCTCAGCCCCCAGGGCAGAGAACGGGAGCCTGCAGGCTGCTGGGTGGCTGGCTGCCGTACAGGGGGCTGGGATCTTGGAGGAGCCGCCCTTTCCTGCAGTCCCCATGGCAGGTGGTGCTGCCCAGGCCCACCCTTCCCCCCCCCACACACACCCCTGGCTCATCCCTCCAGCCTTCTGTGAGCCCGACTAGGCTCGCTCTGTGCACTGACATTTTTCGGGGCCCCCGTGGGAAGAAGAGCAGTATGCCCTCACGTTGGAGGACAGTGAACAGGACTCTGCAGCCTTAAATGTGGATTGAGCGCCTACTGTGTACCCGGTCCTAGGTTGGGAGCTTGGGGGACTGTGAGGAGGAGGAAGCCTGGGCATCTGTCCACAAGAGGACAGAGAACGCCTTAGGAGGAGCCAGGGATGTGGACGGCTTCAGTGAGGAGGGAGGAGACATCTGATGGGGGTGGAGGCTGGGATCTGGTGTGGCCTCGGAGCATCACCACGATCTGATCCAGGGGGCATGGGGACAGAGTGTGGGTGTGCTTGGTGGAACAGCACACACAACGGCTCAGAGGTAGGATGTTCACAGTATGGGGAGTGGAGCAGATGTGACTGGGGCTCCCCGATGTCACCCTGCTCCTGGACCAGGCCTCCTTCCTCCCTTTGTCTGTGAGCCTGGAGATGGTGAGGAGAGCAGCTCTTAGTGAGCACTTTCTCATATCAGAACCAGGTTGCTGTCATTAGCAGAGTCACGAAAGGTCCTGTTTACTCTCTCTTGTCAGTTACAATCATCTGTGGGGGCAGAGGCCTCCCGGTTTGTCAGCAACATTATTGCCAGTCACAGAAGGGCTCTGCTCAGCTCCCAAAGTCCAGGGACCTCTGCACACCTGTGATTTCCTTCTGCGCCTGCCTTCACTCTCTGCTCAGTGTCTCTCAGTAGCTCCCTATTGCCCAGGACCTGCCTCGCTCCAGGCATCAAAAGTAATAGGAGACCCCGCCCACTGCTCCCGACCTGTGCTGTGCTCATGCGGGAATGAACCACAGTCATCCTGTGCTGGCTCACCTCCTGCCTCTGCGCCTCTGCTCTCTGCACCTGTGCATCTCTGCATCTCAGCATCTCTGCATCTCTGCTCTCTGCATCTCTGCGCCTCTGCATCTTAGCTCTCTGCTCTGCGCCTTTGCATCTCTGCTCTCTGCATCTCTCCTCTACGTCTGTGCTTTCTGCTCTCTGCATCTCTCCTCTACATCTGTGCTTTCTGCTCTCGGCATCTCTGCATCTCTGCTCTCTGCATCTCTGCGCCTCTGCTCTCTGCATCTCTGCTCTCTGCATCTCTGAGCCTCTGCTCTCTGCTCTCTGCATCTCTGCATCTCTGCGGCTCTGCTCTCTGCATCTCTGAGGATCTGCACGTGCTGCTCCTCCTGCTCTTCTGTCCCCTTGTCTTTGAAACCTCAGCTCCCTTGTCCATTTCTCCTTCATGGCAGGATCAAGTTGGTTGCTCACACAGCTGCCTCTGCACATTCCACCTGGCCTTCTTCCCGTGGATGCTCATTTTGGAGGAATCATGGTAGGTCCAAGCCAGTCAGGGCAACTGCTCACCCCTCCTCTCCCCCACCTCTGGTGATTGGTCCTGGCAAAGACTCATTATGGCCAATGAGACGTTAGGGGAAGTCTATGGGGGCTTCTGTGAGAGATTTTTCTTCCTGAAAAGAAAGAGCAGGGCGGGGAGGAAGATGCACCCTTGCTTCTGGCTTGAACATTGACTGTGCAGGTGTGATGGCTGGAGTGGAGGCAGCCACACTGCAATCATGAGGGAGAGTTACCACCATTTTGTTCATGGTGGGATGAAGAGGGGGTGGCTTCTGAGTCACTAATGACATTGCTGGGCCACCAGAACACCTCTAGACTTCCTGTCTCTCACATCATTTTTAAACATTAAACATTAGATGCCTTTGTGGTTTAAGCCACTCTTAGTAGAGTTTTCTGATACTTCAGCCAAATACACATCTCACTGGTACAGCCTTCAAGTCTCAGTTAAAACTTCTCTGTCCTTAACTAGTTCCCCAGCAGACGTGGTCCTCTGCCCCGACCCCACCCTTCACCCATGGAAACAGCCTGTGAGCCGCGGTTCTCAGTCTGCCTGGCTGGCTCGTCTGTCCTTGGTTTGTGAACAGCTCTGGGGCCGGCCTGCACCCTTTCCTCCCTGTGCACCCTGAGCCTGCACACAGCAGACCCTCAGACACCGCAGGGACTTCACCCCCAGCACGGCCAGAAGCCCCCAGCCATCATGAAGCCTTTGAGGTCCCTTTGGTCTGAGCCCTGTGTCCGGGCCTCAGGGCCTCGACAGCCTCCTCAGCTGGTGCGAGGTCCTGGTGGGCAGTGCTTCCTGGTGGGCAGCTCTCGCCTCACAGGGCCCTAAGTGCTGTGCTGTGGTGGACTGTCCCTGGGCTCTCCTGCAGCGGACCCGAGAGGCCACGAGGCAAAGACAGCAGGATCTGAGCTGCATTCCAGGGAGACGTGGAAAGGGCAGCGAGGGACCCATCCCGTTTCAGAATGAGCGAGGAACTCCATGTATTCTGGAAAGACCTCTGCTGTACAAGTGGGGAATAGGGTCCCGCAAGGCCCAAAGGAAAGGGGGTGTCCCCAGGGACGGTGAGTGGCGAAGGCTCCTGGCCTCCCCTGTAGCAGCTCCAGACACTGGCCCTTGTGGTCACATGAGCATGACTCTGCCAAGGAAAGCAAGAGAAAGGGCTGCTGGGTGGGGAGCCAGGCAGGTCCAGGGCCAGGAGCACGGCCTCTCCCCTCTGTGCGGATAGCCTCTGGGCGCCTCTGGCAGGCACCTGCAGCCACCATGGCTCAGGCGCTCACAGCACATGTGTGTGGCGCTGGCGCCGGAGCCGCCGGCACATGGACAAGCCACAGCGGGCAGCTTCCCAGAAAGCAAGAGGCAGAATCTGGGCTTGCTGCCTGGTCCACACATCCTCACTATAGCCAGTGACCTCCCTTCTCTGAGCCTCAGTCTTGTCCTCCAAAATGAGGATTAATTTGGGTAACACGAGTGCCCCCAACAGCAGGCCCCCAACAGATATGGCTTGCGTCCATTTGGATCTCCAGGTTAGACTGGAGTCTTGCAGTGTTATTTGAAAGTCCCTTGAAGCTCACCTAAATCCTCAATATTGTAGCTGTTCCAGAGTGCTCCTTAGCCAGCTGCAAGGAACAGTCAGAATTCTTTTCTTTGTTTTTTTTGTGAGGAAGGCTGGCCCTGAGCTATCGTCTGTGCCAATCTTCCTCTATTTTCTATTTTCTATGTGGGAGGCCTGTCACTGCACGGCCTGATGAGTGACGGGAGGGTCTGCACCTGGGATCCGAACCTGCAAACCCCGGGCCGCTGAAGAGGAGGGCATGACTTAAAGACTATCCCACTGAGCCGGCCCCCAGAGTTTTTTGGATAGCCAGTGACAGAAAACCCAAAGTGGCTTAAACAAGCAAACAAACAAAGCAGGAGTGAATGATTTCTGTAACTAAGCAGTCTGAAGTCAGAGAGCTTCAGGCGAGGCTGTACCTGGGTGCTCGACGCCATCAGCAGGGATCGTCCCTCCCAGCCTCTTGGCTTGGCTTCCTGCCCTCTGTGCTGCTGTCCTGCTCAGGGGGCCTCTCCACCACCACTCCCAGGCTGGCCTCATCGCCCCTCAGCAGCCCAACAGAAAAAGAACTTCTCTTCCCCAGGATTCCAGCCCTAACTGCTCCCGGTTTCCCAGGTGGGAGATGGGGTGGTGGCTGGGGGGACCGGGCCATCGTGTGACCGGCTATTAGTTGCATCAGCTCTGCTATCAGTTCCCCTTCAGTGAACCCAGCAGAGATGGGCTAAAACTAAAGGCACACATCCCCAGCTCCCTGGGTCCTTAGTTACACTCACAGGAAAATGCTTGTTTCTTTAACCTCTGACCCCTGAGCTTTACAACCAAATAGAAGATACAAAGTGTTCAAGTCCAGATGGCCTCACTCTGGGCTCCCACTAAAGTCGTGGGCAATCCCAGGACCTTGAAGTCCTTTTACAGAGAAACTAGTGTCCACAGAATATCAAGAAACCGAGGCTTCCCAGGCCCAGCTCCTCCGCTCCCTGACTTCAGAGTCCACCTTCCCCTGTGGAGACAAACAGCCAAGGATGCTCATCTGAGAAACCCTTTGTCTCGTCCACTGCAAGCCTCCCCAGACACAGACCCATGGGAAAACACTGACCAGGAAGGCCACAGCACCCTCCCCTACCTAAAGCCCCAAACAAAAACCCCCACCCGTTTTTTAACGGGGAGCTAGCAATTTTTCGGTCTCTGGCCCTTGCTTTGCTGCCTCTGCCTGACAAAGTAAAGCCTTTCCTTTTTCACCCAAGACTCTGTTCTCATTATTTGGACGGGCATCAGGATCAGAGACCAAACATTCAGTAACCAAGGGTGCAGCTGCCGCGCTCCTCTGGACCCGGTCTCCTGGGGAGCCTGCTCCGAGGGCTGCCCACACCCCGTGGTGTGCTCCTCACCAGGGAGCCACAGCTGCACTTCTCCCTCCAGCCTCCTTTGCAGGCCCCACTTCACTCATCCCAAAGAGGAGCCTGACTTCCTATGGGAAGACAGGATTTGGGGTCCACTCCCAGCTTCACGGCCTGCTTTGGATGTTCCATTATCATCATTTATTCAGTCACAAATGGCCCTGAGCACCTACTGTGTGCTCCTCTGAGTTTTCAGCGCTGGGAGTTGTCCTGGGCAGGGGGCATCGCCCAGGAGCCTTCCAAAGGAAATGAGTTCTGTTCAAATGCTCGCTTCCAGTCTCTCTCTGCCCCTCGCTGTGTGGCCTGAGGGAATTCCTTCCCCTCTCTGGGCTTCTGCTTTCTCATCTGCAAAGCCAGGCTCTGGGAAAAGGAGGTCCTGGACCCCCTCAGCTCTGACACAGTGTGGCTTGGTCTTAGAGCGTGTCTCCAGCAGCGAGTCAGCCCATGAGCATCACGGACAGTGACCATGATGCTCCAGAGGCGGGCTGGGCTGAGACAAGGCCACAGTCACACAGTTGCTCATCTGAGTCCTTCCCCTTCGGGCCGTCGAGGGCGCCCAGGGCAGAGGAGGATCTGGGGCTTTCTGAGCCTGTGCGGACCCTGGGCTCTGAGCTCCTGTGAGCTGCCCAATGCTGCTGCTGCGACAGAAAATCTCTCCTGGGGTGTTGGTGACTCCAAAGCCCGCCCACCATGGATGATGAAGTTGTGGACTCAGAAAGGGAAGCACAGGGAGGCCACACGGCGGGAGGAGAGGATGAGGCAGAGGTCCCACGGAACCATCCATGTCGCCTCCCGCTCCTTCCCCTCCTCCTCCCCGCCCACCCCTCCCTTTTCTGTCACAGCTGAAATTGGTCTGTCTCGCTGGAGGGATGGAGGCCATGAGGCGTTGGCGGGGAGGAGGGGTCCCTCGGAGCACGCCCAACTGGGAGGATTTCCATTTTGTTCCAATTGAGCCTAGTTTCTCTTCATTCTTTGAACATCTGGGGACGTGAGTGAATTTCCCTGGTCGCTCTGTCACTCATTTGTCAGTTCACTCAGCGCTCATTGCCTTATTAATCCATTTCTTCCCTCCTTTATTTAGCTCATGCTCTTTTTTCTAAGCAGGAGGGGAGCATTTATTGGGAGAACAAAGGAAACCCCAGAACAAACAGAGAATAGGTTCACCTGTCTTCCCACAAGACCAGAGCCTGCAGCTGGTAAGACATGAGAAGCCAAGCCAGCTCCGTTCCTTCCCCCACCCAGGGGCCACATAGCCACTTGTCTCTGCTCCCCTAGGCCCCTCATTCGATCCTCCTCTCTTTTAAATCTGTTGGTTTCTTCCCAGTTCCACTGCCATCACCCTCATCTAAAGGACTGTCCTTTTTTTGGCCTGGAAAATTGAAATAGCCTCCAAATTTTTCTCCCAAATCCACTCTTGCCCATTTCCAATCTTTTGTCTTCCTTGCTGGGGCCACAGTGACTTGCTGCAAATGGAGAATTTATTCAGCGGTTGTCCTTGCTCCTGGTATAGTCTCCAGAATCGTAGCGTGGTGTGGAACTGGATGAAGGCTCGCTCGTGCTCAGGGCCCTTGTGGTGGCTCCTCCCTCCCTGGAGGATTCGGAGGCCCTGCCCCTTGTTGCTCTCGGGCAGGGCACAGGGGCTGAGGAACAGTGAGAACCAGCGTGGGCTTGACAACTTCTCCTCCTTCTTCTGCGGGAATGATGGCATTCCAGACAGAGGCTGCCCTGGCGGCCTGAGTCCAGAGAGAAGGTGCCATGCAGCAGAGCCACGAGGACATGTCACGTGAGAGATGGACAGACCTGACTGTAGGCCCCTGAGGTCGGGGGTCTCATTTGCTACTAAGGATAACCCAGCCTCTCCTCACTGATGCACATGGTCCACGAGCCCTCGCTCACTGCCCGTCTCTGCTGGAGCCATCAGTGCCTACACAGTGTGCTCCTTCCCACCTTAGGACGTGCTCTGTTATTCTCTTTTGAAAGAATGAGAGGCACACATTGGGCGGACATGTTTTCAAACCACCCCAGGGGCTCAGGCCACTTCTGCGATAATCCTATTTCGCAGCTGTAGGAAATAGCATTTAGAGAGAGGGACTCGCCCAAGGTCACATGCAGATTAGGGTCAGAGGTGGATCACAACCCAGGTCAACTGACCACTGGCCGTGAACCCTTGGCCCATAGCACAGAATAGTGATTCTAATAATGACTAATTGGACATCTCTGGATTCCAGACATTTTGTATGTATTAACTCATTAACTTCCACAAAAACCTAGAGTGAAGCTACATTTTACAAATGAGGAAATGGAGGCACAGAGAGGTTATGTACCTTGCCCAAAGTCACACAGTTGGTATGCAGCAGAGCCAGGATTCAACCCCGCACTCTGGCCAGCTCCTCGGGGCTCACAGCTGGTTGGGGGAAACGTGTCACATGCAGACAGACTGAGCCTGCCCAGGGGTCAGGGTGGTGAGAAGGGGTGGTCAGGGAAAGCCTCACTGAGGAGATGACATTGGATCAAAGATCTTGCGTGAGGTGAGGGAGCCGTGTGGCCATCAGGAAGAGTGTTCTAGAAGGGAGGACCAGCAAGAGCAAGGGCAGGAATGGCCTTGGTGTGTGAGAGACGATGGGGAGGCCAGTCGGCTGGAGTGTGGTGGGCAAGAGGGAGCAGGGTGGCAGGAAATGAGATTGGCTCGTCATCAGGGCCTGGCAGGGGCAGGTGTTGCCTGAGGGGTGGCCACGGAGGCTGTGGAGCAGAGCAGGGTGTGAGCTGATGTGGTCTGGCTGCGGTGTGTGGAGAGCAGACTGGGGGTGAGGACACAGCAGGGGACCACAGCCATTAGGGGGAGGGCTGGCGTGGTTTGGCCCAGGTAGGAGCCGTGGGGAATGGGGAAGGAGCAGATTCTGGATGGTTCTGCAGGTGGAGCCACCAGGACTGGCTGATGGATGAGGTGGTGCAGAGGGGACAGACAGAGAGACAGCTCCAGCCAGGTGAGTTTGAGACATTTGGCAGACAGCTGAGCGGACAAGTGAGAAGGCAGGTGGACCTCCCAGTCCCAGGTCTGGGAGGGAGCTGGGGGCTGACTACGTGCACTCGGTTTCCAGCCCGTGTTGAGTCTTGTTGGAGCTTGAAACCCTCTTGTCGAAACAGGAGGAGAACCTTCCTGGAGTTGGGCAGAGGAGAGGCGCCTGCTGGTGAGTGCTGCCTGCCCAAGCCTCTGGGTTAGTCCTCAGAGCCCTCGGGGATGCTCTGAGGGCCGGCGTCAGCCCAGAGGAGGGCCTGAGAGCCACTCTGCCTGGAGTTTGCCTTCCTCTGGGGGCAGGAGGACCCTCCCATCCAGCTGCAGAGGCTGCTGGGATCCGGGTCCCCAGGGGCTGACCCAGGAGCTGAGCCACCCCTGCCTCGTGTGGTGCAGGGTTAGGGGAGGAAGGGCCTCTGGTGCCCAAGGCTGGAGGGCCCAGGACCCCGAGGTCGGCCTCTGTGCAGGGCGGGGACCCTGGGGAGGGCAAGGGACAGTGGCTCAGCGAGGCCAGGGAAGGGACGCAGGGGCACAGAGCCAGGCGCTCTGCCCTTTGCCTCACATGCTGAACATGGCCCAGGGACATTGAAGATTCCCAGCCAGGTCCCCATGCGTAGAGAGTGTCAGGTTTCATTTCAAGGTGACAGGTTGATCCAGGACTGAAACGGAAGGTGAATCCCAAAGTCCTTGGAAGATTCCCAAAGTTTGTCAACACTAGACAGTTCTTCCCAGATTCATCTCAGGAGGAAAAAACTCAAGATGCCAGCAAATTAGGTTAAAAGGGGCCTTTCAAGGAAACCATTTGAGGTTTTTCCTTCTTCCTGAAGATAAGGAGGGCTGTGAGGGTCCCCAGGGCGGCCTCGGCCTGCAGTGCAGGGAAGGTCATCTGTGGTCTTTGGGTCAGAGAGAGCCACCCTGAATGATGGACAGGTGTCACTCCTGGGGCCCAGATGAGGACACTGAGCCCGGGACACTGAGGAGCTTCCCAGACACACGCCAGGAGGCAGCAAGCGCACCGGCCCGCTGGGCGCGCTGGCCCAGAGCTGCTGCCTGGGGAACTGGGGCCACAGAATCCAGCAGTGTGACCTCTGGGCGTCACTTTGCTCGTCTGTACAAAGG